TTCCAGGAGGTTGGAAGACCCGTCCAGGAGGGAAAGCAAGTTGTCGCCAGGTGGGGTGGGCTGCCTGGTAAGGACCTTTGTCTAAGACTCAGCCAGGGAGCCCCAAGGAAGGCAGGGCAGAATGTGTAGAAAGCAGAGGAGCCAGCGGAAACAGGGCATTTTAACATCATGCTTGCTCAAATAGCGATGTTGAAAAGAAACCTGGTCTCGGTTCAACGCTTATTTATGTGGTCACTCACTAGGACCCTGCTTCCTTAGAATCTCTGACTATAAGCTTGGCTCTGTGTGTTCGCACCAGGGAAGGAGATCGGGAGGACGGCACAGCCAATGGCCATCCCCACCACCTTCCCTGGAACCCACCCATCCTCCAGCCCTTCCAGCTCAGTGGAGCTGTCTGTACACGAACTACAGCTTCAGTCCTTGAAGCCACGACTCTGCCTCGTCTAATCCATCCGACCCACCACCACCTTCGTCTTTGGGCCGCTCTCGTCTAAGCCAGAGGCTTCCCCGGGACGGCACTTTTGTCTCCCGTGATGCTGGCCGCAGTGTTAAGGGGCTGCATTCAGCTGGGAGCTTGGCTAGGTCTAGAATCTTCTATGGGACCGCTATAGATTACATACCTTGTAGCATCCCTGTTTGGGGGGAAATGGGGTGGGGAGGCTGCTGGGATCCTTTCCGCAGCTTCTTTTTAATTTTTTTTTTCTTCTTGAAACAGGGTCTAATTATATAATGCTGACTGGGCTAGAACTTGCTATGTAGACCAGGCTAGCCTCAAGCTCACAGAGATTCACCTCTTTCTGCTTCTCAAGTTCTGGGATTCAGGTGGGTGCCACTATGCCCAGCTAGCCCCCATTTTTTTTTTTTTTTTTTAAAGAAAAGGTTTCACATAGTTCAGGTCTCAACCTTTCTGTGTAGTCAAAGATGACCTTGAATTACAGATCATCTTTTCTGTACTCCAGAATGATTGGATTACAGGCACATGACACCGTGACCAGTCTTTTTTTTTTTTTTTTTAAATATATTTATTTATTTAATGTAAGAGTGCTCTATTTGCATGTATGCCTTTATTCCAGAAGAGGGCACCAGATCCCACTATAGATGGTTGTGCATCACCATGCTGGGAATTGAACTCAGAACCTCTGGAAGAGCAGTCAGTGCTCTTAACCATTGAGCCATCTCTCCAGGCCCCCATGACCAGTCTTTGCATGTTATTTGTATGGCATTTTGAGCGAAGTCCATCTCGTCCTCTGATTATGAGGTCTGTAAGGGAGGTGGCGGTGTCTGCTTCTCCCACATCCTATTCTGACTCAGTTCTTAGTTCTGGGAGAGCAAGGCTTACATTGAAACTGGGTGAGTGAAGGACCTCTGAGGGGGGGACAGACAGACAGAAGCTGAGGGGCAAAAAGGCATCCAGGCACAGATGTGCTTCCTCCTAATATAAGGGGCCCAGACCCTGAAGAAGAAACGGGGCTCCGATGGTTTGAATATCTCGTGTGTGTGTGTGTGTGTGTGTGTGTGTGTGTGTGTGTGTGTGTGCTTGAGACTTTATCCATGTAGCCCTGGTTGTCTTGGAACTCACACTGTAGACCAGGCTTGTAGTTGGAATTTTCTTTGGGCTACCAACCAGCTCCCAAATAAAGACATAGAGGTTTATTATTAATGATGAATTCTCAGCCTTAGCTTAGGCTTGTCCCACTATCTCTTTTAACTTAATTTAACCTGTTTCTTTTCATCTACATTTTGCCTCAGGGCTTTTAACCTTTCTTTCATTCTGTATGTCCTGCTTTCCTGATTCCTCCATGTCTGGCCCCTGGCATCTCCCTGGTGTCTCCTTTTCTTTCTTCCCCTCTTCCTTCCCTGACCCTAAATTCCTCTTCCTATTTACTCTCCCTGACCATAAGTCCCACCTATGCCTCCTCCCTCCCTATTGGCTGTTCAGTTTTTTATTAGACCAATCAGGTGCCTTAGGCAGGCAAGGTAAAACAGCAACATATCTTTGCATAGTTAAATATTCCACAATAAAGCCGGCCTCAAACTCAGAGATCTGCCTGCCTCTGCTTCCTGAGTGCTGGGATTAAAGCCATGTGCCACCACTGCCTGGCTTTGGCTCATATATTTGAATGCTTGGTCGCTAGTTGGTGAACTTTTTTGGGGACAAGTAGGCCTAGGTAGAGGAGGTATGTCACTGGGGGTGGGATTTGAGGTTTCAAAAGTCCGTGGCCAGACCCAGTCTCTCTCTGTCATGTGTTTATGATCAGGACGTAAGCCCTCAGCTACTCCCCCGGTGATATGGCTGCCTGCTGCCATGCTCCCTGCCGTGATGGTCATGGACTGAAACAGTAGGCAAGCCCCTTTCATAAGATGCCTTGGTGATGGTGTCTCTTCACAGCACTAGACAGTAACTAAGACAAAGGTTATAGTTCATTGTTTGTCCTTTCCAAAAGTCAGGTTGAAACTTAACTGCTAAGGCGGCTACAGAGGCCATTAAGTCACGAGAACTGTGATGATTAATGATGATTAATGCCAGTGTAGCAGGAGCTGCATTCTCTTGCTCACCCGACCTTTACCCCTCCATCATGTGATGTCCCCCACTATGGGAAGATGCATGCAGAAGCTCCTGTAGGTGCTGGTATGACACCTGCCAGCTTCTATGGCTGTAAGCCATCTGCTTCTCTTTATTTTAACTTACCCAGTCGTTTATAGCAGTTCTAATGAACTGAAAGATGAGTGCAAATAAAACCATCTTGGGGCCAGAAAGATGGCTCCGCAGTTAAGATTGAGCACTGCTCTTGCAGAGACCCCGAGTTCAGTTCCTCGCACCCACTCTGGGCAGCTCACAACCTTTTGTAACTCTAGCTCCAAGGAATCCGATGCCCTCTTCTGGTCATGGAAGGTACCTGTACTCATGTGTACACACACATAGACACACAAATACACACGGGCTTTAAAATCCAAAACAACAAAAACCCAGAAACACATTCTTGGCTAGTGAGATGGCTCAGAGGGTAAAGCCACCTGCTTCCAAGCCTGACACCCCAAGTTCAATCCCTGGGACCCACATGATGGAAGGAGAGAACACAGCCAACTTCAGCAAGTTATCTCTGATCTCCATCCTGTGGCTCACACACACCTGCATGTGCACGTGCACACACACACACACACACACACACACACACACACACACACACACACACACACACACCTGCACACACATACACACACCTGCATGCACACACACCTGCACACACACACCTGCATACACACACATACACACATACACCCACGCACACACACACAAATATTTTTAAATATTTATTTATTTTTATTTTATATGTGTGACTATTTTGCCTGCATACACATAAATGTGCATACCTAGTGCCCAAAGTGGCCAGAGCTGGACCACATCCCCTGGTGTAGACGGTTGTGAGCCACCATGTGGGTGCTGGGAAGAGCCTGGGTCTTCTGCAAGAACAACAAATACTTTTAACTGCTGAGCCATATCTGTAGCCGCATTTATTTAAGTGATTTTTGTTGTTGTTTGAGACAATCTCTCTATTATGTAGACTAGGCTGGCCTTGAACTCACAGGGATCCACCTGCCCCTGCCTCTGTCTCCCAAGTGATGGAATTAAAGGTGTGCACCACCATTTCCAGCCTAATTTTTTTTGAATGTCTTGAAGTTCTCAGAATGGTCATACATGCCTGCAATCACAATATTTGAGAGGCTGAGGCAGGACAGTCTCTAGTTCAAAGCCACCCTAGAATACAGAAGGGGCCTTGTTTCTAAAGAAAATAAAGGAGAAAAAAGTTCTGGAATATTTTAAAAACAGGTTGAGCGTGGTAGCACATGCTTGAAGTCCTAGTACTTCAGAGTTTGAGGCAGAAAGATTGTCGCAAATTAAAGGCCAACCTGAGCTACAGGCCAACCTGAGCTACAGGCCAACCTGAGCTACAGGATATAGGCCTCAAAAGGCTAAACCACCGTGTCCTGAACAGCAGCCACACTCTGGGTTTCTTTACTTTTGTCTTGCTAAAGGCACCCTTTTCTCTGGGCCTGCTGTTCTCAGGTGCCTTACGGTGCCTGGGGAGAATGTGAGTGACGGTGACGCTCCACAAGTAGAGTGGAGACCCCTGAGGTGGGCCGAGGTCCATGAGCAGCTCCCCCAGCCTTCCTTCCAGGACTCCCGGGGTGCAACCTGTTGAGAATCTACTTCTCTCCATTTCTCTCCACCAAGTTGGGACTTCTTCCCAGTACAGTGGCAATCTCCTTTAACGCCAGCAGCCTGGAGGCAGAAGTAGATGGAGCTTTGTGAGTTCAAAGCCATCCTGTGAGTTCTAAGACAACCAGGGCTACATAGTGAGATCCTATCTCAAAAAACCAAACCAAACCAAAATAAATTATCCTCAGCAATAAAACACAAAATTGAAATTGGGACTTTTTATTTTATTTTATTTGGAGACAGGGTGCCCAGGCTGGCCTGGGACTCATGTGGTGGCTGAGGTTAACCTTGGGCCCCTGATTCTCCTGCCCGTACCTTCCAAGTGCTGGAATTATAGGCATGTGCTCAGTTTGTTTGTTTGTTTTTAACCCAACATCTTATTCTGCTGCCCAGGATAGCCTGGAACTCACTATGTAACCTAGGCTGGTTTAAAATTCTCTGCAATCTTCCTGCCTAAGCCCCTGAGAACTGGGATTACAGGCATGAGCCACCATGCTCGGCTTCAAATTGGCATTTTTTCTTCAACTAATTTTTCCTCTAGAATACTGCCTTAGTTCCTTTTCTTATAAACTCTTACGAAAGAATGCATTTAATTTGTGGGTTGTTTACAGTTCCAGAGGGTTAGTCCTTGATCATGGTGGGAAGCAGACAGGCATGGTGCTGGAGCAGCAGCTGAGAGCTTGACATCCTGATCCACAGGCAGCAGGCAGAGAGAGACATTGGACCAGGTGTGAGCTTTTGAAACCTTAAAGCCCACCCCCAGTGACATACCTCCTAATCCTTCCCAAACAGTTCCACTAACTGGGGACCAAGTATTTAAACATTTGAGCCTATGGGGGCCATTCTCATTAAAACCACCATAGGGACTTAGTATCTCTTAGGGCCTTTGTGGTTTTTATTTTCATAGAAGGCTTTAGAAACAAGCAGTCTACAGGCTGGGCAGGGGGTCCAGTTTCCTCAAGCTGGGCAGGATCACCTGGCAGTCATCCCAAGACTCAGTGCGTGCTCTCTCTCTGTCTCTCTCTGTCTCTGTCTCTGTCTTTGTCTCTCTCTCTCTGTCTCTCTCTGTCTCTCTCTCTCTCTCTCTCTCTCTCCCCCTCTGTCTCTCTGTCTCTCTCTCTCTGCACTGGCAGATAGAATTATAAAGTTTGTGTTTGGGTCTTTGAGTGTGGAGAGAAGGGTAAGTGTCCTTGACAGAGGCAGCTTTGGCATAATGACCAGGAAACTTCAGGGAGGAGCTGGGGGGCTGAGGGAGCCGCAGAGGTCTGACCTGCTTATGTAAGAGTCACAGACCAACTTGTTTTCTGACCCCAGGCGGCAGAGCTGCTAAGTTTAGACTTGAACCTGAAACTTTTGATCCTGGAAAGGCATCCGAGGCTGGTGGCTCTGGCAAGAAGGGCTGTGTCCAGGGCTCCACAACGTGTGCCCTGCATCTGGGAAATGGTGGCTTTAGACAGAGGATAGACCTGTGGACTTGGGGGGGGAAGAAGTTAGAGCATGCCACAGCAAGCCCTGAAGGTCAGTCTCCTGCCTCCTTCCTCCAGAGTGCCCAGAAGCCGACCCCCTTGGCCGCTGATTTATTACCTGCCTACTTGTCATTGCTAAGATCAGGAAGAAAGTCCTGTCCCCGGAGGGACAGAGGGTGAGGCATTGTAGGAGAGGCCGCTGGGCAACAATGAACTCCTCTATTGGAGATGCCTGAGGGGTCCAGACCTTGCAGGCAACGCAGTGCCTGGTCTGACATCTCGGTCAGTGTGTGTGTGTGTGTGTGTGTGTGTGTGTGTGTGTGTGTGTGTGCACTCATGTGTTCTTGCATGTGTGCGTGTGATATGCATGGAGGTATGGCAGCAGGGAGCTGCCATAATGGAGGTAATACAGTGCTGTTAAAATAGGAAATAGTCTATCAGGCCACACCCACACCTCCAATTGCAAAGCTAGGGATCCCCAAAGCCACCCTCATATTTAAGAACTCATTGGGACCTCTGCCACCCTCACAGTCACAGGAAAAACCCAGCCAGGGAAGAGTAGGGTGGGTGCAGCCAGGAGGATCCCCACGGAGCTGTCTACTGTCCTCTGCAGATGGAGTCCCAGCTGGCACCCACCACTCTACCATGTGCCAACTCACACAGAGCATCGTCCCCTGCCTTGCTACCTAGAGTGTGGATTGGGGTTTCCTACTCGCTGCCTGTGAAGCCAGTACCAGTCCTTCAGACCTTCCAAGGTCCAGATGCTTATGCTTGGGTCAAAGCCCATAACCATATTGTTGATTCATCCTGTGTGGCCAACTCTCTCCCTAAATGAAAATCCTCCCCTTGGGCAGCACTTTCTGGAAGCTGGGGGCAAAGGCCAGGCCTCCCTTTGGACAGGGTAGAGCTCTTCACTTGTATGTAGATAAATTCAAGCCCCAGCCGGCATTACGCTGCAGAGTCCGTTCTTCCAGGGGGACTGAAACCCCCAAGGGCTTGGTCCACGTGTCCAGCGGTCCACATGTTCAGTAGAATGCAGGAGAAGGAGCCCAGTGGACTGGCCGCCTGCCTTCATGCTGACAGTCACCTAGCACCCACTGGTGGCGTGTTGAACACCAGTCACATGACAGTACTCTGAAAAAGGGACAAGGTGGACAAGTTAAAGCTAACCCTGACCCCTGGGCAGCATTCACTCTAGTAAGGAAGTTAGCAAAGCTGTGATTAGGTCTTTAGTTCCCCGGAGGAAGCAAAGAGCTGAGCTAAGAAGAAAATATGAAAGAGAGGATCTGCCTTTGATTAGGAGTGCAGGTGGTAACTCTGGGCTGAGGATACAGCTCAGCAGGTTGAGGGCTTTGCTTCTAGCAAGCAGGAAGCCCTGGGTTCAGGCCACAGCACTGCACAAACCGTGGGTGGTAGCTCATGCCTGTAATCCCAGCACTGGGAGGTGGAGGCAGGAGGATCATGAGTTCAAGGTCATCCTTGGCTATTTAACAGTGAGTTTGAGGCCAGCCTGGGCTACAGGAGACCATGTCTCAAACAAACAACAAACAAACAAACAAACAAACACCAGCTGTCTGGTGGCTTACACCTTTGATCCCAGCACTTGGAAAGCAAGGCCAGTCTGGTCTCTACTTAGTGAGTTCCAGGACAGCCAGAGATACATAGTGAGACTCCGTCTAAAAACAATAATAACAACAAGGACAAGGACAAGACAACAAAAATGCAGACATGAAGTCGTGTCTGTTAGCAGAGGCCACGCTAATAGGGGATTTGTTCAGGTCCCCAAGGACTTGGGTAGCTAAGTCAAGCAACAGAGGCAGGTCCAGTTTCGTCTCTAGGGAAAACCCCGTGTATCTATTCATTGTGTAGCCTGAGAAGACAATGCCTGTCCTTGCGGTAACTGGAATCTTAGCCAACACACACACACACACACACACACACACACACACACACACACACACATGTTCTTGATTTAAAATCTAGAGCAAAGGAGAAACTGGCCTTCTTTCCGGCTGG